CCATCCTGGGGGGGGGGCTGGGGGGGGGGGGAGGAAGACCAAGGAGCAGAGGAAGAGGAGCTGGGTAGTTTAGCAGAGGAAGAAGAGCTGGGTAGCTTATATACTTGCAAAGATTCTTCAACTCATCCTTTTTAAACTTAATAATTCTAACTTCGGAGAGCTTTCTCTCTTCTAAGCCAGTTCAAGACTGCAGATATAACAGCACTTCAGCTCTGTAGCTGGCCAAATGCAAGCACAATTCAAGATAAGGGCAATTTTACAGTCCTGCTTCATTTATCAAACCTGACATGTACTGCACATTATGATTTCCATGTAATGGTTTGACTGTAAATTTACCCTCAGCAAGATCCTTTTATATGCATTCAAACTAATTTACCTCTCACTGATTGAGTCCTAACTTGTAATTTGCTTAAATGCAGAGCCTAAATTGACTAAATCAAATGCATTTGCGCAAACTCAATAAACAGAACCATTACCCACTGAAATAAGCAAGTCTCCTAAGAGCATCAAATGCTTCCTTACAGTGGAAGAGTTGGCTCAGCAGCCAACCACCACTCCAGCTAATGACCATGTTTCTCCCTCTATCTCATTAGCCAGTCTGAGGACTCTAATTTTCCCCCTCTAAAGAGAAGTGCAAGAAGCATACATAGCTTTATCAAGTACTGCAACCAAAGCAACTAAAGCTCATTTTCCAGTGTAATGAAAAGGAACCAGTGGAGAAAGATACATTTGAATATGCCTGTTAATGCAGAGCTAAGCCATAGCCATCCTTACAGATCTCAGCCAGCTAGCACACTGTATCCATTTGCGGAGAAGGTCATAAAATTATTGGAGCACTGTGTCAGTACATGTTTTTTATAGCAGTGCAAATACAGTTGCATCTTACTGCTCTCCTTCCGACTCAGCGCTTAGAAAGGGACATTGATTTGCAATTGCTAAGTAATCATTTAAAAACAACCACACCACCATCAGTCAAGAATGCATTCAGCTTCTTAACGAAGGATGCCCAAACCAGGATCCACCCGAATGGGATGGAAGACTCTTATGAACTGCATGACAACCTACCCCAGGTATTTCACTTGTGTAACTTTATTTCAGTGGCTTTGTAATTTAAACATAATGGTGGCAATAACAACAGAAGGCAGCATATAGTAGTTTACACCAGCTTAAGAAAACCTGTGTTGGATTAAAAGTATTTAAAGCTTCATGCTTATTGAAAATAATATCTGAATGGCACGTGGTACACCACATATACCAAAAGTTGTTCTGATATGGAGAATTACTACTGCAGGGCAGTACTGCTACACTAAGCATTCTCACTAGAAGTTACTACCATGGGTACACCTTCAAGCTATGATGCAAGGGGGGTTAAGCAGCAAAGTTGATTCTGAGTTAAAGTGCAAACTTCAAGTATCTAGTCACCATGAAGAAAAGAAAGTGTTACCAAAATTAATAAGACAATACAAACATTTTTTGCTGACATGTATACAATAAATATATAACCAGAACTGAAAGTCTTAAACTAGCAGAGTAATTTTGGGAACAACTACCAAGTTTTTAATACAAACTATTAATAAAATGTAGCATTTATGAAATACTTACCTTTAAGATGCTTTAGGAATATTAACTCATTCATTTTTCTATTAATAATCAAAAGTCGTAATTTGGGCTTGCTACAAACAGCATGCCTATGGAAAACCCATAAACCCCAGGAAATTAAGTTATCCGACACAATAACTACACCATTCTGCTTCATCTGTTCCTCCTTTGAAACTTCTGCCTTCAGTTCTCTGTATGCTAATTTCTGTCAAAAATCAGTAAGTAAGACTCTGTTGTGGTTTCCAAGACGAGATGTCAAAGAATTATGTACAGATCTACCAAAGACAGATTTTCCTCAGACATTCCTGGGTAGCTCTGGTGTAGCTTTATACAGATTGGCCCTGAACAACGATAGCAATAACGAAGGAAGGGGGTCTTATCATTGAGAAATTCTTCTGTCCTGCATGGGGTCTTGACTCTCCCTAGTGCATGTGACGAGAACATGAAGGGTCCAGGAATTACTAGTACTTTGCAACAACTATTACTTTTTTAATATTTCTGTTAGGGATTAGTAGGTAAACGTGTGGAACTGCAGGTTTGTAGGACGACTGCCAGCTGAGAACATGGCATAGCAGACTCTTGGCAACAACGTCAGCAACCCAGTCCACATCCTTCTTTGGTAGTAGAAAAAGTTGCCAAAAGGCAATGCTTCGAAAAAAGATTTGTGTCTGTGGCCCATGTTTTGTGTGACAGGCCCTCACTCAACAACCGAGATCAAAAAAAGGGAAAAGGGACACTGAAAAGGCAGGCAGGTAAGGGAACAGGAGGTTAAGGTGGGAGGCAACGTTGAGTGACAGCAGAGAAAACCTGAAGAAAGCATTTCTTCAAACAGCAGCCACGGAGGGAATTCTGTCTGCTGGACTCAAATTGTAGATATCTAAAACACTAAAATTAGGACCTTTGAACACATCTTCTTGTTTAATTCCCTTACTAAGTTTGCAGTTAAAATTTGCTATGTCTTCCCTGCCAAAAAATGGCACGTAAATCCAGATGTAACAGCTCAGGCTACTCAGCAAGGTTCTGCCCTGGTAAACGAGGGAGAACAGGATTTCCAAATACTGCAAACAGAATTAAGTTCCTAGATCTGGGTCCTGGTATTTTTATTTTTTTAAGACTTTTTAGAAAATGTACTCCTTTTCTATACTGAGCATTCCCCTTATTTTTCATTGTCTTGATATAGAAACTATAGTCCAGGAAGTAGTATACTAGAATATATTCACTGGAATAGGTCCAGGATTAATCACATCTTCCAGAGCCCACAGTCTAAAAGACTTTCCATTCTGGGTTTATTCCAGCTACAATTAGGATAGTTTGGGCACTAAGGGAAATTGATGTATTAATTTGCTGTATCCTGAGGAAATAAGTGGTGCAAAGAACCAACAAAGCCATAAAGCAAGCCACAGCACTGTTACTGCTTTAATTCCAGTTCAGGCAGAGGTTTATTGAAACCCATCAGCAGTCGTTCCATCTTTTATGGAAAACCAATTACCACTCTCAGAAGTCCCCTTTCCAAAACCAACTCACCTGGAGCACAAGGAGTGCCATAGATCTAGAAAACAAAAATGAGCTGTAGTGGTCTAATCGCTTTCTTTTCTCCTCAAGAGTATGTTCGACTGGCATTACCTTGCCTATTAGACACTAAAGAAAGTGCTGTGTGATCTACGACTACACTGCGAAGCTGAAAATTGCTAATGGTGCATATGCTGTAGCCATGATGCATCTACCAGATAAGATGACACCCGGGTTATCTCCAAAAATTGCAGTCTCATCGAAGAGACAATATAGCCAGAGATTTTCAGGGAACTGCTAATACAGGGGGGATGTTACACACCATTTCTTCCTTCTGGACCATTGCCAACACTGTGATTAGCAGGCTGTTAGCAGCTGCACAGGCTCTTCAAGCACATGGACATCTCATAACAGTCTAACCTTGTATTACATAAAAAATAAATATAATCTCACATACCCCTCTCCAATTCTGGGAAGACCGCTGCCAACCAAGTGTCTCTAAAGAAGGCCTACATAGACTGCAAACCCTCTTATGCTTGTACAGTACAGAGTGATGTTGGCTTAAAAAACAGTATGAATTAAATCCAATTCAATCCCTTTCTTTCCCCATGTGTCTTCCTGCAAAACCAGACATCCTTGTCTACAGCAATGAACAAGAACTTACTTAGTAAAGGTGCATGTTCTTCATTTTTCACAGCAGTTAGACATACACATACTGTCAGTCTGTCTCTTGCTGATCTGCTCATAGTTAGTGCTGCTTCAAACCAATAAACAGAATAAATATTCAGCACTCACTCGCTTGCCTTGAAGCCCATTTAATGTGACTGGAGAGACAAGGGCATGGAAGAGTCAACCACTGCAGCAACACAGCTAAAATCTTTCTCTTCATGGGTAATGAGCAACTGCGTTGAGGAACTGGTGTTTTTTCTAGTTGGCTTCTTTCACCCAGTTTGAACAAGCTGATGAAGAACTACTGTCCCTCCAGGGCAACGATGTAATTAGAGGAAACACTGTAGAATCAGAAGAGGCAAATATATTTGAGGTAAGTCACTGTGAGCAAGACTCCCGTCAGTAGCAACCATTTTATTACTGCATTTCTAAATTCACTAATTTCACTATCAGACACTCTATTCAATCATTCTGCTTTGTTCTAAGAGCTTGTTTAAAGTAATACCAGCTGACAGAGGCGTCAT